ATGAATTTCAAACCAGTTGAGTTATATTTCACTTTGCTGTATGTGTCGTGATCATGAAATTCTTATTTCTTAAGATTGATGATATGAATTAACTTTTATGTTCTCTTCTGTTTAAGGTAATGTGAAGTGACCCAATAATTGGTAGTATAGATAGAATGGATGGCTGTGACATTTACTGTGGCAAGCTGTTATTCAAGAATTTGTCATTATTTCCAGAAACTTACCACTGGTTTAAATTATTAGTCTTTTTTTCTCTGTACCCAACTTGCCTAGACTAATATGCTATATGGGAGTTATGTCTACTTTATTTGTAAAATTGGTAAAATTACCAATAAAATTTCCGATAAAGTTTTCAGAAGTTTTGTCAGATTTCATTGAAAATGAATGTGAGGAGTTATCAGTCATATTCCTTAAGAGTGTTTAAGCTTCCAGGATGAGAGCTTCTTCACTGATACTATCAGCTGTACAAGTTCTCGTCAAATTGTCACATAAATGTCATAATTTAATAGGTTGAAAAGTAAGGTTGCTGAAGGTGTATGTGATGTTTTTGGGCAGTCTCTGGGCTTTTACATAGATCAACCAGAGAAGCATTTTGTCTGCACGTGTTCAGTAAATTTTTGTTTGAAGTGGATAACTGCTGCTACATGCCTGTGTGGGTGTCCTGTAAAAAAAGTGAAGCAGGAAAATGCGGTGGAAAACCATAGTAGAGTGAGTTCTTGAGACAACTTTTCTTGTCATTTTTCCCTCTGTAACTTAGACAGAAGCACCCTAGTCTTAATATGGTTGTGTGGTGTGAAAGGAAGTCACATTGATTGATTTTCCAAATGCAAAAGTGTGTGCAATCGAGTTCAATTCCTTTGAGTGTTTTAGAGCTTAAACTGCTAGTGCAATGTATTTGCAATTTCAGCAAAAAGTAGAAGTTCACAGAAGTTTAGGTTTTGGTTGAAAAGTTTTTTTTAACAAATCACAACTGAATCAATTATTTTCCTAATAAAAAATATATTTGACTTCATCCATCCTTTTACAGCCCAAAAACATAACCCTCAACAGATGAGAATTGCACCATAAGTAGAGAGGTGTGTACAAAAAAAGAAAGACCACCCTGTTGCCTGAATGTGAATAGAATCAAATAGCAAATTATGAGTTTCCAGTTGTAATAATAATAGTTAAATGAATCAATTATTTTCCAAATAAAAATTATATTTGACTTCATCCATCCTTCTTAAAGCCCAAAAACATCACATACACCTTTTGCAACCTATTAAGTTARTAGAGTTATCTGACAATTTCATAAGCACCTGCACAGCTGATAGTATCAGTGAGGACAAAAACAAAACTTTTTCCTAGGGCTTGTATCCCCTGGGAACAAGACTGAATGAAGTCAGATTAAAATAACAAGGAGAGTTGTTTTTTTATGAAAATAAATCATTTACACCTATTAGAGTTTAGAGAAATAAGACTGAAGTCAAAAGGAGACTTTGATACTGCATATTAAGTGGTAACGAACACCAACCTGGCTGCTATGTAAAGAAATTTATAGACATTTGCCAGGGGGTTTAGCTGTGACAATTTTAC